ATCAGTCCTGGGCCACTCATCTGGCTCATGAGGCCAGATAAATTTGAGACCCCTGTCCTACCCCATCGAGTGGTTGCAAGGATAAATTCCCAATGCTTGTTGTACACCAGATATTCTAATGATGGAGCTGCGCCTGCATGTTTTGTGTGCTGAACCCATCCGGTCCGCTTCTCAGATGAATCCTAGCTATGGTAACAGCATAGCAATAGGCACAGTCTAGAGAGACATTGTAATTATTTCAAGACTTGGTGTCTAACTTACCCAGTATCAGCTTAAAAGAAGAACCTGAAAGGACTTTACAGGTGTTGAAACTGGTGGCATGATTAGTTGTTAGTCTGAGTGTGCAATGGGAGTGTGCAATGATGTTAGTCTGAGTGTGCAATGGGAGTAACTACCACTACGGATGCCATTGCCATCAAGAACCAGGACAACACATTGTTAGATGTAAGGAATCACTTCTGAAAGTGTAAGTAGAGGGGAGATTTTAGGTCTGTGAGGGAGTGGTGAGAACTCCATGAAAGTCAATGGGAAGGTTTCTGCAGATTTTGGATCAGATCGAAAGGATGTCTACTCCTCGCCAGAGCTTTTGGGCAACACTTGGATGGGGCCCGTTTTCTTTTAGAAAGAACTCCTTTAAAATAAATGTCCCAGATCCCTCAGTGATCCTCACAGGAGGCAAGAGGAACAGGGAGGTGCGTGATGCAGCTATATTGCAGGAGTTGGAGTGGAGAGCTCTCTAGCCGGCTACAATCGATTGAGGCACAAGAAAAGGTTAGTCAGTCTCTCTTCCTTCCCCCTTGCGCTCTCAAAGCAGAGAGATTAAATAGATTGATTGGAGCCAAACCTCCTTGAAATGCCATAGAAAGATGCCGCTCCTCTGGTTTCCTCTTGATGAAGTGCCTGTGCATGGCATCTGTGCTTGCCCAGCTGTCAAAGGGAAGAGGAGGGCAGGAAGAGCAAGATGCTGCCCCTCCGCTTAGGAAACAATTTCCCTTTGCAGGTAGTTTTGCACAGCCACTTCCCAGGTTCCTGGGGCTTTATCACTGATTGTGTCCCTAATTCCCACTTCAGATGGATGGTAGCTGTGTGGCGCCGGGGGCTGAACTTCATTATTTAGTTTACTGCTGTCTTGTATCGGGGGAGCAACTCTTCACAAATGCTTTATGCTGGCGCACACACCCCTCCCCGTTTTCTTAGTGGAGGATTTATAGGCCTATTCGGCGAATGCAGTGAGGAATAGTGGCAACATAATTCTGTATCTTCCACAAACAGCCGCCCTGCTGCCCCGGGTAAGTATTCCTGGGAGAGCAGTGATTGAAATTTAGCGCTGGCAAAGCTTTAATTGGCACATGTCTTTGTTAAGCATCTGTGGGGGAACGCCATCTGACACCACAGTGGGGTGCCCGGCACCTCGCCCATGGGAGCTTTCTTTTTAAAGAGGTACTGTTAAAAGTACGTAGAATCATCAACTTTATTGCAGCTGGGTTTAGCACAAGAAAAAAGCACAGCCTCGGCTTGTCTAGTGTCCTGAGCATCTTTCTGTAGCAATATCCCCTGCAGAATGTAACGCACAGAATGAACCACCAGGGAAATAACTGAGCACGCATCTACACGTGCACGCGCTAACGTGCATTAACACGGGTGTATGGACTGACTTGGGACTCAAGTTAGTCCCAAGTCAATGGATAAACACCATGTTAATGCATATTAGAATGTCTACACATTCACTAATGCAGTTTAGCTATTCATGCATACATTTGATACCCACTTTATGCCATTTTTAAGGTGCATTAAGAGCATGCACGTGCAGACACGTATCCTTAATGCACCTTAAATCAGGCTAATGTGTATTAAATGCATATGTGTGGACATATCCCGAGTCCTTCACTGAACTTGGTTCTTCACTCCTGCATGCTTTATTCAGGGAGCACCTTGTAAGGAGAAAGGCCAGGTGTCCCCTTTCATTGCTATGCACTGGCATTTGAATGGCCTGCTGTTTGCAACCAATGATTGTAAGGTCAAGCCTTAATTTTCAATGCAACAGGACAAAACATTTGTAGCTAATGGTGAGAGTGGCTGGAGTAAGGACAGGAGGAAGTTTCAACAATTGCCCAGTTACTTAACTGAGTTGTTGGTTTTCATAACCAATCTTGGATCAGAACATGAGCAGGATAGGGAGAGGACACTATAGCTGATCAGGTGATTGATGCTGGCCAAGCCACTTTGTCTTCTTTGACCACTCTTCCCTTCCTTCCTCACAACCATTTGTGTGTCATCTCTATCTAGATAGCAAACAATGGTTTCTGCCCATAGAGATGACTACTTGTTTATGAAATGCTTAGCACGGTGGGGCTCCAGTCTAAGCTTAATACAAATAATAATAGATGATGATGATGATAGTAATAGGTGTGGTGATGTAGATCTAAATCAAAATGTTTGCATTTGGGGAGTTATGGGCCTTTAAAAAAATGCAGCTTTAATAGGATGGAAGAAAAGGAAGATATACACCAAGATGGGAGGAAGACCTCAAAAATACATTTGAAATAATACATTAGAAATAATGGTCTGTGGTTTGTCTCAGTTGTAGGCTGTGTTAAAAGGAGACTTCAGCTTGAAATTCAAAAAACTTTTCACTCTTGTTGGCACACACATGAGCATGCTACACACTCTCTCTCTCTCCCCAAAGCAGAGCTGGTTGATATTTTTTTAAATTTGAAATTGTGTTTGAAAAATGGTTCAAAGAATTATCATTTACAACCCAGAGCCCGCTTGTGCTAGGTGCTGTACATAGCCATGCGGAGGGCATGTGACAAATCCAGGCATGAGCATGCAATTTATGTGCAAATAGGTCCATGCACTTCTCTCCTGAGGTTTGGAAGCACAGCCCTGGTTCTTCAACTCTAAAAATATAAGCACCTTTCAGCAGAACCGTGCTGAATGATACCTGCATAGGCTGCTGCAGTGTGACTGGTGTTTTTGCAGGTTCCAGTGGTCATACAAGCGCAGCAAAACCTTTACCCGGTTTCATTCAGGGTTAAAGTTACAGCAATTTACTGCCTTTGCATTGTTATGGAAAGCAGAGCCGGCCTTAGGGGTGGTTGATGTGGGCGACCACCTAGGGTGCTATGGTCAGGGGGGCACCAAACATGCATGCACACACGTGTGAGCAGCCTGTGCTCACTGCAGTGCTCTCCCCCACACTGCCCAGGAGGAGCTAGGCTGGGAATGTGTAGGTGGGGTGGAGCCTGTTCTGGTCCAAGTGCCTTGTTCCCAGACAGCAGCAGCAGTGCCCACCCACCTTCCTGGTACACCATGATGCTTCACCTCCCCACGGACTGTGCCCCATGCCCCTGCCCGCCTGCCTCTGTCTCTGCCTACAGCAGTGTCACTGACTTGATGGAGGGTGCCAACATATAAGTGCACCCAGGGTACCATTTTTCCTGAGGCTGGCTCTGATAGGAAGGTGCCAAGGTAACCATTTATATTGTGACAACTGTTGAGGATTCTGGGGAGTCCTTTTCTTAAGCAGTTGAAAGCTATATCTGCCCGCAGCTTAGGTCTGTTTTTCCTCTTTGGGTATATACACACGTTCAGGGAGGTTAGGTGGAGGTAGATCACATTAAAAGAAGTCACCCAATCTAACTTAGTTCACCCAGTTCCCTATTTAGGTTGATCTAAGTACAAACTGTCCAGAAGTTCAGGAAGGTTAGATCAGTCTAAAAATGGCTGACTCGATCCACGTTACCTGTACTGCGGAGGTAGTCTAACTTAGATTGTGTCTGGCAAGACTGATCTAATTGAACTTCTGTACAGCTCCTAACATAGCCCCAAGGCTGGGAAAGTCTAGCTGCTGGCCCCAGCTCTGGAAATGTGTTTTTCCTACTTCCTCTGCCCCCCAGCACAAGCTATTTTTAGCCCCCCTTCCCCTCGCCCCACCCCCAGATGGACAACCTCCTAAGCCTGCCAACCCCCATATCCTTCAAACTGCTCCAAATGCCAGTTTATGGGTTTTTGCTGGTGCCAGGAGTTGATGGAAGTAAGTTAGGGTGGGGGGAGGCATGGGCAAGATCAAGGGCAGGGGGTTGGTTTGTCAAGGGGGTTGTTCATCTGGGGACAAAGAGGGGGTGGCAGGTTCAAAATACTCCCTCACCTATGGTGGTGGGGAGAACCCCTCTATCCTCGCAAGCCCTCCCATGGACCCTGCTAGCCCCCCATATCCTGTAAAACCTTCCCAGATTCCACCAACCCCTCCACACTAGCCCCCTTGACTCCTCAAAACCCTCCCCCCCATCCCATCAAAACCTCCTGGACTCCACCAACCCCTCCATAGTTTCCATAGATATTAGGGCTGGAAGGGACCTCGCGAGATCATCACATCCAGGCCCCTGCCCAAAGGACAGGAAGTCAGATGGGGTCAGATCACCCCAGCAAGATAAGCATCCAAGAGTTTCTTAATGGTATCCAGGGTAGGCGCTTGCACCATTTCTGGGGGGAGTCTATTCCAGACTCTGGAGATTTGGACGGTAAAGAAGTTTTTCTTTATGTCCAGTCTAAAACAGTCCTCCAACAGACCCTGCTTGCTCCCTGATCCCTCCATCTAGGCGCAGCTGATGAACTTAGACTCGCGGGGCGGTGGAACATCCTACGGGGCAGTAGGGGTGGGGTTTGCAGCCGGCTGGCAGTGGGGGAGGGATTTGCAGCCGGCCAGGAGCGGGGGCATTTGCAGCCTCCCTGCTACCTGCTGGAGTGCCCGGCCGGCTGCAAAACCCACCCCCGACCCCCACTCCTGGCCACCTGCAAACCCCACCATGCTCCCGGCCAGGTGCACCCGCCCCCCATGTGGGATGCTCCACCGCCCCACCACTCTGAGCTCAGCTGCATCTGCCTCCAACACCCCTCATGGACCCAACGTGTCCCCCCCAATCCTCCTGCTAGCCTGCCCCACATCCTAATTTAGCTTAGATCGGGTGGGCATTTTTAACTCGATCTAGCCTCCCCGAATGTCTGTACATAGCCTTTGTGAGCCCAGCAGTCAGCACCGTAATTGTATGCACACACACGCATAATAAAGAGAAAACTTCTAGGGGAAGCACCGGGACAAGGACTACACCTCTCTCCACGACAGGACACTGCATTCATTCTTATTTTAAATGTCAGTCTCTGCCCCAGAAACCCTCACTTTGAAGCAAAGTACTGAAACAATAGTAAAACTGAACCCAACAGGCCCACTCAACTTGGAGACCTGAGGCTTTTCAATCCCTAAGAAAAAAATTAGGAGGGATATAAAATGGCATGTTCTAACTATAAGCTAGTCTCCAAGTGCTAGGGGCTAGGGTGAGGGCATTGTGAGGGTTGGACAATCCCGCATTTACCTGCTGCGAGGTCCTTGCACCCGGCACTGGCCCCTGCTAGAGCCAGGGGCACTGGACTACAGGAATCCTGGCTACGGCTCGGGCAGGGAGTTTCTGTGCTCAGGAAATCCAGCAGAAGCCCATTGCCATTTCTGCCACGTACTGCCGATACCCCTGGTATCTCAAAGCATTTTGTCTGGCTTATCAGCGTCCCCCTCCTCATGCCTTGTGGGGGAAGGAGCTGCAACCAAGCCGAACAGGGAGCTGTCTGATTGGCTCGACATACGGTCTCTGCAAACACTTCCCATGTCAATTTAGGCAAATGCTTTAACAATTCATTCAATTATGTTAAGCACCCATTAAAGGAATCCTAAGTCTTCCCTGGGGTCATTTCTGTTCTATGAGATTGTAATTGTTTGAGACTAACCATGATTTCTCCTTTTGCCTTCAGGTGATTCTAATTCTGACAAAGCTGTATGACTACAACCTGGGGAGCATCACAGAGAGCTCACTTTGGAGGTACGTAGACCAATTGAGTTAATAATTACTAACTTACTTAAATATGAACACACTGGTACAGTTCTTTTATTGAATTTAATTGGATTTTTTTTTACATGCTAGAAGGTTCACGGCTAAGCTTTCTGTCTCTTTCCTTCCTTGTCGCTCTTCTCCTCTACTCAAGGATGATTGTCTTGTTCAGCTAGACAGCATATTTCACGTACCTGCCGCCTTTTCCTTTTTTGCATAATCCCCTTTATTCGTAAACAAATATGTGTTTTAAAAGAAGTCACCTAGCAGCCCCTGTGGCTTTCATTTGTGACAATTTAATTTCATTTTACAATGACAGGGCCCAAGGCTACAAATCCACCCACGTGGTCCTAAAGCATAGATAGTGCTGCTAAGTCTGGAGAGGAGCTCATGTGAATAAGGGCTTGCTGTCCAAGTGACTTGTACGGGGTTGCTGAGACCAGGTCTATTATTAGTATGACTGATAACCACCTTGCAGTTGCATTTTTGTGTCCTTTGCAGAGATTTATGGCTGCACCAGGCATGACCCTCACAATTAAATGAAGTTGTCTGCCCAAGACCACTGTTTGTCATTGGGGTGTGCCTATTGGGCAGGGCAGATAGACTGTTTGTCACACCCCCTGGTTTCCTGGCTCTCTAATTGTGGGGTAATAACTCTTGAAGTTGGTACAAGGGGCCTGTATTCCCTGGTGGCAGAAGGAAACAGCTGAGCCCTAAATTATTTCCCAGCGCTATGATGGATATGATATGCGTGTGAACTACCTGGCCATGCCTCAATGCACCCTTTTGTGAAAAAGGACTAGGAATATTTATTTATCTCACAGTAACTTTATTTTGAGGCATGGTTCACTAGATGTCCACCTGCAAAGACCCTCCTTACAATTGGGGACTTTATGCAAAGACAAGAAGTCCTTTTGAAGTGCTGATTCATTGATGCTGAAATATTCCATGGGCTGATAAAATGTTTATTCCAGAAGGTTTTTTTAGTCTTGGAGTGGAGTTTCAGGTGGAAACCAGAAGAGCTCCAGAATAGCCAGTGCCCCGTGGTCAGGGAACTTGTTTGGGATGTGAGATCACAGTAGGACAGGTCCCATATCCCATGGGAGTGGCATCACCAGACCATGAAATGACATGTATAGTCTGTCTTCTCTCTCTCTCTGTCTTTTTGGGAAAAATTGGCTTGGTTTCATCCTGATAGGGCATGGCATAGGATCTGGAGGAGGTGCTGCAGTACGGTTGCACCCCTTGTTCAGACCACACTGCAAGAGCAGCATATAGGCATTTTGGCAAGTCCCTGAAGCAGGTAAGAATCCTTCACCTTTCTGCACATTCATTCACCGCCCATTCTCCCTTTCCCTCGCCTGCTGCTGGCGCTGGCGCCCGCTGGCCCAGGGGCAGGGGTGTCTCCAGAGCCAGTCCTGCCACGCTCTAGCCAGGCTGTGCAGGGGCTGGGCTCAGCTGGGGACAGCGACAAGTGGTGAAGGCAATGTGGCTGGGTCCCTTCTCCCTTCCCTCGTGTTCCCCACCAGTCTGGGAGCAGGTTCGGGGAGGGCGGGCGACCCCCCCTGCCACTACCACTTCTGAAGTTTGCTCCCTGTGCAGCTGGGCTGGAGCAGGGCAGCGGTAGCTCTAGAGCTTCCCCTGTGCTTGGTTCAGCAAGGCTGTGGCAGGCAGAGGAGAGGAGGGGAAGGGCCACTGAACACAGCGGGGAAGGAGGGGGTGCTGAGAGTGTAGGGATTTCTTACTCGCTTCGGGAACTTAAAAAAAACTCTCCAGCTGTTGCTTCAATGGTGTGGTCTGCTTGCCTCTTGGGAGGAGGCGAGGGGTGGAGGGTGCTGGGAGTGCAGGTGCTGTCACCTCTGCAGCACTGAATGGTGGTCCCATGCCCTGCTCTCCAAAATCATGGATTTGCCTATGGCTGGGCATGCTGATACCATCAACGGGCTGTGGCAGGGAGGACTTCAGAGAAACAGTGGATGCCTGTTCCCTGAATTCAACTCCCCCCCACCCAAAGGATACAGCATAGCTGCCTTAAAAGGGTACCAGGTGTATGCCAATCAGCTCGTTCTCAGGTACCCATCCTAAGACAGCGATTATATCATTTTGGATCATGGTGTGCATGTGGAAGGTGTGTTGCGTTTCACTCTTGCATGTCCCACTGGTTCTCGGTTGCATTCCCACCTTCGAATTTCACGCACCAGTTCAAGCTCTTCTCATGCTGCTGTAATTGCAGTTGAAGCTCTCTCTAGGCTCCCAGCCCTACAAGCACTGTCCTGTGCTCACCTCCAGCATCACTGGAGGTCCATGCATTATTATTGCCGCTGTCTTAAATTAAAACGCTGGTGCCTGCACGTCAAACATTTGCACTGGGGTTTTTAGGACTGAGCCTTTGGGGAGATTTTCATTGACTGCAACGGGCTGTGTGTGAAGCCCTTTGTATCTCTAGAGCAAGGGATCTCATCCTCGTTAGACTCAAGGCCCCGCATGTTAGACTCAAGACACCCTTCAAAACATGCCAACTTTTTTTTTTAACTATAGAAAATTTAATAAAGCAGTTCTGTTGCAAAGAACTAGGAAAGGCCACAGCAGGTTTTGACATTGTGGATTCCTATTTGAAGTCTCTGGGTTCATCTGGTGAATCATGTGTTTGCACAACTAAGAGCGCTAATATTATGTGGCACCCTGCTGTACCCTTAAAAGGATCTCATGGTGCCCCAGGGTGTAGTGCTACCCTGGCTGAAAATCACTGCTTTAAGGTTTTAAGAGCCTCCAAGGAAAAATCTAAGAGCACAATATTTTTTGTTGTTTTCGTTCCCTAGTGAAATCTTTGCCTTTGTTTCACCAGAGGTCATTAGTAGAGGGCACTCATACATAGCTTTGAAGGTTTTGTTGCGGCTCTTACATTTCTGTTGTGATGGGAGAAAATGACAAGAGGACACATTATTTAAGGCACCTGACAGAGGTTATGGGCTGTTGCTCCAACCGGCTGTTTAAGCGACATATTATTTTTAATTCTCTCTGCTTTTGTAGAAAACAGGGGGAGAAAAATCCTGGAAACTGTAAATAAGAAGGGGTGGGGGGGACACATGATGTGTCTGGCATTTCTTTTGTTTCATTCCTTGAGGTCTGATGCAGGCAAATGAAAGAGCACCTAATTTCATATTCATTTTGCTTTCCTACGTCCCCTGTATTTCTGGAGGAGAGAAGAGAAAAGCAAGTCATGTTGCAGTTGCGTGCAACCTAAGAACAATGTCCCTCTTGCATATATGGTATGCAGATTAGACTCGCACCCTTGGTATAAGGATGTCGTACAAAAGGGGTGGATAATAAGTGATTAATGGCTGTTTACAAAGACATCAGGCACGAGTAGGTTGTGTTATAGTTGGTTGTAAGCCTGTCAGCTGAAGTTATTACAGATGGTTAGTCGTCCGGTGACCGATTAGTCTTTGGGAACAATGGACTCTCTAATTGGACTTTATAACAACCTGTAATGTGCATACACTGTCAACCACAGCACATGGATTTGTCTTCCTTATAAATACGCTAACAAGAGCCAGTTTCTAATTTCTCAGCCAGTTTAACTCCAGTCCCGTCAGCCTTCTGTAGTGCTGATACAGGGAGATCTCTGCAACCCTACATAGTTAAAAGGACTACCAGCCACTGGCCTGAATTTGTGCAATAACCCAGAGGAAGATGTGAGGAGCTAGGCAGAGGAACTTCAGGAGTGTTAAGCCTCGGTGGATCAACAAAGTTGATGGCAAGCAAGATGTTGCTTCTGAAGCGGATTAATGAGATTTCTCGCCTGCTGGCCCTGGCTTTAATTACGCTGTAATCCTCTCGATAGATTTTTTCGCCATTCTTGGGGAGTAGGGGAGGGGGACTAATTCAAGAAATATATAAAAAAAGAAGCAGGGGGAAAAAAGATTATCCATCACTGAGCAATTAGTTGAGTTGTGGGGGTTTTATTTTTCTTCTTCTCCCAGATATCTTTTGGATCACAAAGAGGATTAAGCTTTGAGACTTGGGAGAAGATGGTTTTTTACTACTGGAGCAAGATAAGCTTAAGTTCCAGATAAATAAAAATGTCAGAATAATAGCTACTGTATCTGTGGGAAGGGAGGGAAATAATCTTCTTTTTCTTAATATGATCGGTGCTCTAGGGGGATGTGTGTTGAACCTTTCATTCAGGCCCTGGAGAGGAAGAAAATTGACTGTATGCGGCTAACTTGATCCTGCAAACACTTATGCACATGCTCAACTGTGTTGCTGTGAATAATCCTATTGAAATCAATAGGACTACTTGGGATAATAAAGCTGAGTGCATATGTAAAGGTTTGCAGGATTGGGGCCTAAAAGAGAGAGGGTAAAGAACCACAATACACGTATGCTGGTGTGACCTACCTGGGTCTGTCTGCTGATGTAAGGTACCCCGGTGCAACTTAAGGGCTCCTATACACATGCACGGACCCAGCTCCGACGTGTTGGATATCCATTGCATCAGAGCAGACTTGATTAATTGAGTCTGTTGGAGCACAAAAATTGATGCGCTCCGGCAGCCTTCCGCATCACGTGTATCAGCGTTGCCCCATGTCTCCGTGCTGAAAACACGGCGGTGGGACACTTGAAATAAAACACGCTCCATGACCTTTCGTTCAAAATGCCCCGCTGCTATTTTTTCAGTGCGGGGATGCATGGCGTTGCTGATGCACATGATGCGTGGGCACTTTTAATTAGGGCATTTTTACACATGTTGTGGCATGCGGCACTGGGCGCTTTAATTAGTGAGCTGCACTAAGTATCCAGAGCAGACAAAAGAACAACTCTGCCTAGGTAGATGGCCTGTGTACTATGCACTGTTATAGCATCTGGCTATTAGGTAGCAGGGGGAACCAGTAATGCCCTGCTTGATTTGATCGAGAGGGCTACCCCGGGATGTAGCTTGACACCAGTGAATAGTTAGTCCTGACTTTTTCCAAACAGTGTCTGTATCC